AAAAAAAAATCAGGGTCTCATGCCAGGCATGGTGGTCCACAGCTATAATCCCAGCACTCGGGAGGCTGAGGCAGGAGGATTGTTGTGAGTTTGAGACCAGCCTGGGCTGCAAAGTGAGCTCAGGGCCAACCTGAACTGCATAGCGAGACCCTGTCTCAAAAAGACACACACACACATACAAATTTATATTTATAAAGCATATTGGAAAGATAAAAGTCTAAAGATAGGCTTGTTAAGATACATTATTAAAATTAATTTTATTTGTTTCTCCTTTTTAAATCCGGTTACTGCTTTATGTGGTGGTGCATGCCTGTATTTCCACCACTCAGGAGGCTGAGGCAGGGAGATCATGTGAGTTCAAGGCGAGCCTGGGCCACGTAGTGAGACCCTGCATTAAAACAAACAAACAAAGGAATCTGGTTACTGAAAGAATTTAAATCTCATCACACTCCTATTGGACTGTGTTGGTCTGAAGGAATAGAATTAAAATACTAGAGTAAAAATACAAACCATCCAAATCTCAGAAAAAAAGTACAGAAACAATACGTGGTGAATCCAGGCCAGGGAACCCCTGGACCCCGTGCTCAGCCCGGCCAGGATTTCTCCCCGGGGCAGCCTTGCCCACAGCTGGTCATTCTGCAGGACAGAGCTACGCCCTGTTGCCCTCTGGGGGCATGCAACCATTTCCTGGTGGCGAGGCTCTCCTGTCCAGGGGGTAACAAGGCCCAGACACTGTGGCCAGTGGCGGTGGACAGTGATGAAAATTGCCCCCAGCGGACACAGGTGCTGGATAGGACTGCAGTGGGAGAGGACCCCCGGGGGCAGAGCTGGAGCCAGGTCTGCTCTGTGTGCAGCACACAGTTGAGTTTGCCCTGTGACCTTCCTTTCTTTCTTCCTGTTTTCCTTTTTGACACAAAGTCTTGCAATGTAGCTCAGGCTAGCCTCAAACTTGAGGCAATTCTCCTGCCTCAGCCTTTGGAGAACTAGTGTTATGGTTTGTGTCTGGATGTCCCCCCAGATCCTCATGCAGTCATGGGGTGGGTTTCTAGATTTTTGATTGATCCATAGTCCAAGGCTGGGATTATGGGCTTGAGTGCTACACCTGCCCATGGGGTGGGTAGTTTGCATGTGTAAGGGAGAGAAAGAGGCTGCTTGCTACCACTCCTCCCTTTTGCTCTTGTTGCTTTTGCTATCTTCTGCTGCCATGAACTGTTGCCCTCTGCCCTGTGCCACTCTGCCTTGGAGCCAGCTGAGTATGGACTGAAACCTCCTCAGATTGTGAGCTAAATAAGCCTTTCCTTCCTTCATTTTGGGTGTCAGGTATTTTGTCTCAGCAATGAGAGAAAGTACCCAAGACAGCTGGGAGGATGAGTGTGTGCCATCACAGCTGGCAAAGCCTTCTGAGTTTAGCCTATACCTGTCTCTTGATGGAACAAGCATTTCCTCCCAATTCCTCAGCACATTTATGCCACACTTTCAGTCCATATTGCTCTCTGCTGTGACTTGAGGACGGTGTCCCTTCCAGAATTTATTTAGCCCCTGGTATGACAATACAGAGAGATGTGGCTTTGGGAAGTCGACTCAGTCACAAGCCCTCCTGAGATCAGCACCCGCCTGAAAGGGCTCGAGGGTGTTCTCCTGTCGTCTGTCCTCTCCAGCAGGGAGGAAGCAGCATTTCTCCCTCAACAGTGAGGCACCATCTTGGAAGCTGTGATTGGGACTCACCAAGTCCAATGCTGCTGATACCTTGATATTAAACTTCTAGTTTCCAGAACTGTGAGGAATAAATATCATTCTTTATTAGCTACCCAGTTTGTGTTACAAAAAAAAAAAATTTTTTTTTTTGATGGGCTTACTAAGATGCCAAAGCTGGTCTTGAACTCCTGAGCTTAAATAATCCTCCTGCTTCATCATCCCCCAGTAGCTGGAACAATTCTGCTACTTCAGTCTGCGGTATTTTATGATAGTAGTGCAAATGGACCAAGCTGCTTCTTTTGGTTGCTTTCTGTTTTGTTTTACTGAGACAGGGTGAAGGCTGGCCTCAACTCTTGGCGATCTTTCTGCCTCAGCCTCCCAAGTGCTGGAGTTACAGGTGTGCACCACCACACCTGGCTTTTTGTTTCCTTTTAAAATCTGCCTTACACTTTATGTCAAAGGTTAGGACCCAGGAAACAGACTAACAGACTTTAGGAGATAGATTACATGCAGGAAGATTTAGGGACGGGGTCAGCCCCTGTCAGGGAGCAAGAGGAGTAGGACCCCAGAGGAAAGAAAGCAGCACCTCCCGAGATGCTAAAGCTCTCTGAGGCTTCCAGCTCGTCCCTCACTGGTCATAGGTGGCTGGTCACCCACTGTTAGACACAGGCAGCCTCTCTGACGGAGGTTTGGCCTTGGTTAAGTGGCTCTCTTCATACTAACGAAGGGCCTCGGGGATGAAGCTCTTTGCCATCACTTGCCCAGGAGCCAGGGAGTGCTTCTGGGAGCACCTAATGCCACAGTGCTGTTCAGACCCACAAGCTGGGCTCCAAAATCTGCTCCTCCAAGTGTGCTTGCAAAAGATGATGTTGCTGCCCTGGACCCACTGCACTGACCCGTCTCTGGCTCACCCATGTGCTCCAGGGCTCAGCCTGAGACTCACTGACCTCTGTGTGCTGGGTTTTTTCTTTCACTTTTTATTAGAAAATCACTTCATGCTTAGAATAATTGCAAGAATAATTATAGTAAAAAAAAAACCAAACCCACATACCCATTCCCAGATTCAGCTATTAACATCTTACCTTGCTTGCTTTTATATTATTCTCTTTTCTGATTGATTTTTGAGACAGAGTCTTGCAACGTAGTTTGGGCTGGCCTTGAACTCACTGTTTAGCTGCTGGCCTCATACTTGTAATGATTATCCCACCTCAGCCTCCCAACTGCTGGGATAACAGGTATGCACCACCATGTCCGGCTTTCGACCTCTCTTTTTGCCCCGGTATCTTTTTGTTTGTTTGTTTTGTTTTTTGGCAGGGACTCACTATGTGGTCCAGGCTGGCTCTGAACTTGCAGCAATTCCCTGGCCTCAACTTCCTGCGTGCTGGGATTACAGGTGTGGGCTACCACATCTAGTTTCTCCCTCTGTTTTGTAGTTACAGAATATATTTTTTTCTGAACCATGTTGAGAGCAAGTTGTATACACTGTGGGTCTTTAAACACTCCAGTGGGAATTTTCAAATAGGAATATCCCTCCACCCAACATTGGGACACTTACTGATTTCAGTAAACTTAGCATTGATCCAATACTTCACTCTACACCTTAACTCTGAATCTGTCATGATCTCAACACCATCCTGTGTCACCTCCCCACCTCCACTGGGTCTGGCCTGGGATCACTGTCGAATTTTGCTGACCTGACTGGAAGACTTGAAAAGCCAAAGTTTCCTCCAGGATTTCTGTCAGACCAGGGTGCTGTGTGCAGCTCAGGGTATCTCAAACCCCACTCCTCACTGCGGGGTTCAGGCATGTCACCTGGCCAGCAGGTTGCCTTGCTTCTGCATTGCAAGTCACCAGTCCACAGGAGAGACTCTCCGACCTTGAAGATACCCTTCTCTTCATCACTCCACCCCTCTCCTTGGTGACTCACCCCCCACCCCCAAGTCCCCCCAGGAGTCTCTTCTGGTCGTGCCAGGCTGACTCAAGCCTTCCTCGTGGCTCTAGACCTGTCGCTGTGTCTCATGGCCTCTCATCTGGGTGCCCAGTCGAAGGCTGAACAGACACGTGTTTAGTTCATGGGGGCAAGAAAAGATATAGCTTTTCCGCTTTTTCTGAAAAATCCTGGTCACAAAGGCAGGATCCTGTCCCTCATGAAGGCAGAGCTGAGGAATAGGGCTGGAGACCTCTTAGGAGTCAAGACCCTCGAGCTGCACCAGCATGCGAGCGGTTCATGTTCGGAAAGGGGCGCCCTTGAGTCCCCACCTTATTCTTTTTTTTTTGTTTTTTGGTTTTTTTTTTCCGGTACCGGGGATCGAACTCACGACCTTGCGCTTACCGGCAGGCGCTGTGCCGCTGAGCTAAATCCCCAGCCCCAGTCCCCATCTTCTTCTGGGGCCAGGAGGCACGACTGTCCTGCGGCCCCGGCTGGCCCCCAGCGCGCCCCCGGCGCACCTCCCTGCTACACCCAACTGCCAGGGTGGGGTCTCCTGCCTCCTGCTCCCCACTCTGAGCGACCAGGACAGCATCAGCACTGTCCCATGCCCGATGGCATCAGGAGGGTACACGGGTCCCCGCGCAGGTGTAGCTATCAGGACTAGTACGCGTACGAACGACCTCCTCCATCCGCAACCAGGGACAGGCCCCGCGGTTCGCCAACTCAGAGAAGGAAGCGGACCGGCGGCGGGGACTGGAGACCCCTCCCCGCCCCGCGCACCTACTATGCGTCCCGACCCACCCCTGCCCCGCCCCGACCCCGCCCTCTAGGGCTGCAGCCAATGAGCGCGCGGCTCCGCATCCGGGGATCCCGGCGCGGCCACCGCCTCCCGCGCACACACGGCCATGGCGGAGGTGAGTGAGCGGGCCGGGGGAGCCGGCCCCCCGCCCTGTGTTCGCGTTGCCGCCACTGGGGTCAGGTTTGCTGAGGCCCGAGGCCGAAAACCCCTGCCCTGAGCCTCTGAGGCCGCACCACGGGCTTCCCGCCTTCCCGGGGCCTGAGGGGCTCGAGGCTCTGTCGGCTGCCGCCCCCGGCCCGGCCCGGCCCCGGCCCTGGCCCCCCCATCCCGCGGCTGCCACATCGCCGGCTGCAGTGCGCATGCGCTGGCGCGGGGCTCGGAGGGGCTTGGGGCGGGCGGGGCGAGGCGGAGGGGGCGGGGGCGCCCGTGGGGAGGTGGGGGCGGCGGGCTGGGGGGTGCGGGCTGGGGGGTGGGGGCTGGGGGCGGCGGGCTGGGGGGTGCGGGCTGGGGGGTGGGGGCTGGGGGCGGCGGGCTGGGGGCCTAGGGGTCTGGGGGCCTGGGGGTCTGGGGGCGGGGGAGGGGCGGAAATAGCGAGGCCCGGGGCTTCTTTCCTCTTCTCCACGCACTGGACAACTTTGCTGAGTGCTGGGCCCTGGGGAGTCCGGGATGGACTTCGAGCCCCACGGGTGGGCACACCAACGGATTTGCACCCCCGACTGGGACAGGCCCGGCGGGTGGGGATCTGCTGGGCTGACCTCAGGGCTGGTGTAGTCCCGTTGCCCCGGGCGTGGAGTTACTTCTCGGAAATACTTGGTGCCAGCTGTGTTTTTTGGAATGCAGAATTTCTCCGACTTGAGAAATCTGGGGTTTGGGACTGCGATGTTCGATCAAACTCATCCAGCACTGTGTAAAATAGAGATGGACAACACATAGCCCCAAGTCGGGTCCCACCAGTAAGGGAAACTTTGGCTTTGGGAGCTCTCTTGGTTTGGGAATGGTGGGCAGGAGAGGGCAAACCTGTGCATGCTGGGTCCTGGTGAGGAGGGAGAGAGGTGATGCGGGAGGCGCAGCGGCTGCCCAGGTTGGATAAATGTGACTTGGTGTGTGGCTGCTGGGTGCTGGCCCTGTGTTGGGCTCTGGTCCTGCAGAAATTAAAACAGGTCTGCAGCCCCCAGAAATAACCCTGATCTCGCGCATGCAGCCGCTGGGGCTCAGAGAGAAGTCACCCACATTAAGAGATACAGCAGCTTTGTGAAAGCGGGGACTGGAAGTCTGGTCTGATCAGGGGCTGCTCTGAGTAGTTAATGTCTTGGCACAACACGGGTGGATGATGTGGAGGGCAGGACTAGCTGGCCATTCTTTTCCGTCAGGGGCCTTCCCTGGGCTGCAGCAGGCCCAGTGTTGTGCCAGAGGGTGTAGACGTCGAGGTGCTAGACCTCAAGGACCAGTTTCCGCCTTCAGCTGGGTGGCTGAGTCCAGAGCATTCTTAGATACCTAGTTGTCCTTCCTCATGGGACATTTAGGGAAACTGAGTCCTCATGGGGATGCTTGTTGGCCTTGAATTTCGCGGGCAGAATTCAGGTCTGGTGTCCCCTTAGAGCATGGTGATGGGATGGGTGTTCTGGCTTAGTTACGGCTAGCCTGCCTTCTGGGAGCTGGGTGGCATTTGGGCAGCATCCCCTGTCTAGCAAGTGGTCGTGTCTTGGGCTGTGCAGGTCAAGACTCCAGCCAGCCTGCCCGAGAGCTGCCAGGTTTGGGCTGTTGCTTCTGCCTTGCCCTGTGGGGGTTTCTGGAGTGCTCACAGCAGCCATGTGGTCTGTTGCCTGTTTTGCTTGGAGCCCTGTTGAGTGCCTTTTTGTTTGTATGTTTGTTTGAGACAGGGTCTCCATGTGTAGTTTAGGCTGACCTTGAACTCACCATGGAACCTAAGATGGCTTCAACTCAGCCTTCCTCCAGGCTCCACCCCCTAAATACGGGGATTACAGTTGTGTACCACCAAGCCTAGCTGTTGAGTAAATTTGGTTTGATTTTCTCAGGGCTCTTGGCCCTTGGTGCCTGGCTTCACGTTGGCTCTGGGGGCCCTGTCCCATGGGGATTTAGAGTCTGAGAGGGACACTGATCATCAAGGAGTGACAGACGTGTTGAGTCTTGGCAGTCTGTGGCCCAGAGGCCTTACCTACCCTGGAGCTCATGTGGCAGAAGGACTTGGCCTCAGTTTTCTCATGTCTACAGTGGGCAGTGGTGCTTGGCATCCTGGAGCTAAGAGGACTACCCTGTTCTTGGCACAGTGGCTTGCCTATGTGATTTTCACAGGGTGAGCCTATGAAACTGCTGATATTTAGCTGTTTTTAACTCCTAGAACTCTCTGTGTAACCTGATTGTGCTTGGTCTGTATTAGCGTCTTGACTGTACTGTAGTATTTTTCTCTCGAGGTAATTAGTGCCACAGTGGAAAATGGGAGCACATCACCACGCTCTCACACACACTGGTTTAAACTTTATATATCTTAGCACACCGGCGTTCACTCCTGTGCAAAGCCTGCGTGGCTTGTCACTGCTCTTAGGATGAAACGCATCTCTTTCCCGTGACCCCAGCCCCATGGTGTAGTTTCCACTGACCCTCTAGCCCCAAGCTCCTTCTGTTTTCTAGTGGGCTCTGTGCTTGGGGCTCTGCCTGTGAACTGTTGCACCTCTCTCTGTCTCTGGTCCAAGTTGCACAGCCCCATCCCATCTCCTTTATTCCTGAGCCTGATGACTCCTTTCAGCTGTGTACATGTCCATCCATGTGCTGTCTTGTGTCCTAGCTGGACTGGTGACTCTGCATGGGTGGAGACGAGCAGAACCTGTTTCTTGGGTGGCCCAGAGCAGATGCTCATGGAGGAGGGAGGTTGGGGCTAGGGTGTCCAGTGCCCTCATGGGCTGGGTGGAGTGAGGAGGAGGTGGGAGATGGGGGCGCATCATTCTCTTTCCCTGTCCTTCATTTTGAATCACCTTACCCCCTGCTCCTTCACACAACGGCGGCTGATATTCCTGTCTTCCGTGGTCCTCAGGGATAGTGGGCTGGGCCAGGCAGTTCTCACTCAAGGTCCTTCCTGTGACTGGCCTGGAGTGTGTGTGTTGCCCTCCTCCCTCGTGTCTAGTCGTGGCAGAGACACCTGCATGTGGCCTGGGTGGCTTGGGCTTCCTTACAGCATGGCAGCCGTGTTTCAGGAGTGGCTGTCCCAACAGATGCCAGATGGAAACTGATTGGCAGTCTGCACCCAGCCTTGGGAGCCAGCCATCATCCTATTGCCCAGGTCCAGCCTGGCCATGTCCTATGGAGAGGACCCCCAGCTGTCACGCCCAAGGAAGAGCATGGGTTGAGAGGTGTGGCTGTGGCCCCCTTGGAGAATGGAAGCTGCCTCGAGTCGTTTTGAGTTCAGCTTTGCAGGGTGGGAGTAGAACTTGGTCGCTGCCCTGAGAGAAGGGCTGTTTTGTGCTGTTTGGGTCTCTGCTTCTAGCTGAGATGGAGATGGAGGTGTCTGATGTGGTAGAGCGAAGTCAGAGCTGGGCCCTGGATGTTTAGGGTGAACTCATGCCTGGGCAGGAGTCACCTGGAGAGGAACTGGGGCTCTGAGGCTAGGGTCCCTGGGGAACAGGCTGCTCCTGTTGGTTGGGCCTCCCTCTTGGCTTCTTGCCTCTCTCTCTACTCCTCTGGTCCAGATTTCATTAGATGACAAGTCAGGCTAGACTACGTCTTCAGACCCCTAAGGGATCCCACACCATTGCTCTCATTCTTTCTGGACAGTGATGCTGTGGGTGCTGTTAACCTGTCATGCAAAGTGTGGCCTCATTTGCTGACACCTCCCCCTCAGTCCAGGCTCTTCATTGTACAAACACAGCCCACCCCTGCAGGAAGTGGTTTTCAAGGAGCCCCTCTGCCCGCCACCCTGAGGTCTTGGAGGGGACCAGGGATGGCTCCAGAGGACACCAGGAACTCTCTGTGGCTTCACAGTGTGTGTGTGGCTGACAACAGCCTGGTTTCCAGGAAGGGTGTGAGGCCACCTTGCCTCAGTACACCAGGGCACAAGGCCCGACATGCCTGTGGTTCCAGGTGCTCTGTGCTCCCCTTGCTTTCACACCCTTGACAATCCCAGCTGTCTCTGCAGTCCCTCTCCCTCTGCTTCTTGCTGCCCTCTTGCCACTGTGGGGCACACAGCCTGCAGCAGATCAGGTCATATCATCCCTGCTTAGAACCGAGGGGGCTCCTGACTCTGCTTCTAGGGGACACATCTCTGTACCTCCAGCCTCACAGCCTAGTGTGGGGATGCAGTGTGATGGTGCTGTGCTGCCCAGCTCTTACCCGGGGCTGCGCTGTGCGCTGACATCGAGTACCATCCTTCGTACTTCTGAGCACAGGGGTTTTTGAATACCAGGTCTGGATTGAGTTTGTAGTTGTAGCACATACTTGCTGTGTGAGCTCAGGTAAGTGACTCGACTTCTCTTTTTTTTTTTGGTATCAAGAATCGAACTTGGGACCTTGCATTTGCCAGGCAGGCGCTTATGCCACTGAGCTACATCCTTGGCCCCTGTGACTCGACTTCTCTGAGCTTTGGTTTCCTAGCTTCTCTTATGGGGAGGATATATTTACCACCTGTAAGTTTTTCTTGAGGACCCAGCGCCTTACTTATTTTATTGAACCCAGGGCCTTCAAACTGAGCTACATTCCAGCCCATGTTATTTTGACCAGGGTCTAGCCAAGTGACTAAGTTGCCCAGGATGGGCTGGAAGTTGTGATCCTTTTGCCTCAGCCTTCCAGAGTGCTGGGATGACAGCCATGTGCCACCATGTCAGGTTTAACCTTAATTTTGTTAAATATTCTAATTTACTTTTTAAGGGGGCAACAGCTTTATTGAGATGTAATTCCTTTACCATGCAATACACCCCTTTGGAATGTGTACAGATCGGTGGGATTCAGTGTTTTCAGGGTTGTAGAATTACTGTCACAATCAAGTTTTGAATATTTTCATTGTTTCAAAATAAGCTCCTGCCAGCCATGAAACTACTTTCTCTGTGGCTTTGCCTGTTCAGAACATGTCATGTGAAATGAATCCCACACCATGTGGCTTGCTGTCTGGCTTCTCTCCCTGAACTCCGTATCTTGGAGGTCATTTTACCTCCAAGCATGTCAGAGCTCCCTTCATTTTCATGGTGGAGCGTCGTGTTTTTGCATTGCTGTTCATCAGCTGGCGGGCATTACAGTTATTTCCCATTTTTGACTGTTACAAAATAATCCTGCTATGATCACCATGGGCGGGTTTTGGTATAGACCAACGTTTTCATTTCTCTTGGTGGGAAATTCCTGGGTTATCTGTGGACACGATGCTTAACTTGTGGAGGGATTGCCACCAGCACTGTGAGGGCTCCGATTTGTCCACGTTCTTGCCAACATTTGTCATTAGCAGTGTTTCTGATTGTAGCTGCTCAATGGTTGAGAAGCTGAATATAAGTGGGATGCACTGTTTTTCCATGGTGCAGCATTGAAGCATGGTTTCATGTGCTTATTGGGCATTTCTGTGTCTTTAGAGAAATGTATAATCAGGTCCCATGCCCAATTTTATTTTATTTTATTTTATTTTTTTTTGGTTTTTCTCCGGTACCGGGAACCGAACTCACGACGTTGCGCTTGCCAGGCAGGCGCTTTTGCCGCTGAGCTAAATCCCCAGCCCCCTCCCATGCCCAATTTTAAACTGGATTAATTTTTTTATTATTGAGTTGTAAGTGTTCTTTGTATTATACAAGTTGTAAGAGTTCTTTGTATTATATGTCTTAACAGATACATAATTTACAAATATTTCCTATCATTCTGAGTTTTCTTTTCACTTTCTCAGTAGTGTCCTTTGAAGCATGAAAGCTTTCTTTTTTTTTTTTTTTTTTTTTTGGTCTTTTTGAGACAGGGTCTCGCTATGCAGTTCAAGCTGGCCTTGAACTCACTTTGTAGCCCAGAGTGGTCTCGAACTCACAGCAATCCTCCTGCCTCAGCCTCCCGAGTGCTGGGATTATAGGCATGTGCCACCAGACCCGGCTAGTTTTCAGTTTTAATGACATCCACTTTGTCTATTTTTTCTTTTGTTGCTTGTATTTTTTGTGTCTCATCTAAGAAATTGTTGCCAAATCTAAGGTCATGAATACTTCTCTCTTATGTTTTTTTTCTAAGAGTTGTATTGTTGTAGCTTTCTTTTCAGTCAAGGCCTTTCAACCTGTTGAGAATTAATTCCAGTACCCGGTATTTGGTGGGCTCCAACTCTGTTCTCTGCATGACGGATCAGTTGTCTGGGTACCATTTGCTAAAAGCCTGCCTGTTCCCCGCTGTGTTGTGTTGGTACTGTCCTCAAGCTCAGCTGGCGTGGATGTAGGTTGATTGTGGACTCTCAGTTCTGTTCTGCGGGTCTGCATGCTTGTCTTTAGGCTAGCACCATGCTGCTTTGATCAGTGTGGCTTTGCAATAAGTTTTGAAATCAGGAGTGTCTTATTTCAAGATTTAAACAAACAAACAAACAAACAAACAAACGAAAAAAGATTGTTGTGGCTACTCTGGGTCCCTTGAGTTTCCCTGCATGTTTTCGAAGACACTTGTCGATTTCTGCAGCCCTGGAGTTCTGATCGAGGTGACCCTCACTAGGTCACCGCGCGAGGCCCCTCTTAGTGTTGTTTTCTCAGCCATAAGCATGGGGTGTCTTTTTGTTTAAGTAGGTCTTCAATTTTTCTCAACACTGCCTTGTTTTAAGGAGTATACACTTTACCCATCTCTGGACTGTACTGCTGTGAATGGAACTATTTTTTTGTGGATTACTCAATACTAGGGCACAGAAGTAAAATGGATTTCCATATGTTGATCTTACATTCTTCTGCAGCCTCACTAAACTCATGTATTTGAGTAGTTTTCATCAGGATTTTACTGTGTTTGCACAAGATAACCTCACTAGCACGGAGAGCGAGCTTAGTTCTTCCTGACCCAGTGGATGCCTTACACAGACCCAGGCCTTGGGTTCTGTGTTGCCAGCAGTGGTGAGGGTGGACACTGCTGGTCGGAGGTATGGAGAGGACATGTCGCCTTGGACCACCGAGCGCAGCTGTGGCTTTGCAGATCGAGAGCCCCTTCTTGTCGTAGCTTCACACACTGCAAGTTTACGTCCTGTAAATGTAGCAGTGTAAAGTGGAAAAAATGATTTTCAGTGCATTCACAGGCTGGTTCAGCCTTCACCTCTGGTCCCGGAACATTTTGTTCTGGCCAGTGTTGTCCTACACCGCGTGGCCCTGTGTCTGGCTTCTCTCATTGAGCACCATGTTCTCAGGGTCCATCCACACTGCAGCTCAGGTTGCAACCCAGGGGTTTTTCGTGGGCAGTTGGCAGTTTGCACATCTGATGTGTGGTGCCCTGGGTGTGGGCAGCTGTTGTGGGAGGCATGTGGCAGTGGCTGCCTGCTTGTCCTGCTCCCAGTGCCACTTCTCCAGTCCTGGCCACAGAGAGGAAGCCGTCCCCAGGGTCACCGCGAGCCAGACTCTGACCTGTGCTCGCTCCTGGGTGCCACTCTGGGGGGCCTAGCAGCAGCCCAGGCTGCCGAGCTAACTCTGCTGTCCCCTTCCGCAGGCCTCCTCGCTGGGGAGGCAGAGTCCTCGAGTGGCCCCCTGCCTTGCACACAGCCTGTGCCCACGGGACCCTGGCTTGCAGACGACGGCAGGTACCTTCCTTGCCCCTGTCCTCCCGCCATAGCCTGTGTGTGTGAGCAGGGGCAGGAGCTGAGTCCAGGGTGGCCCTGCTTCTGCTTCATCAGGCAGAGTCACCAGGACCGCACCCGTTCTCTGTCCCAGCGAGGACCAGCGCGCAGATCTCGGGGAGGTTGTGGGGCACAGGCTGGACAAGAGACACTCCATGTCTCTGCAGCTCTCCTGAGCTGGCTGCTTGGGGATCAAGTCCCAGCCCCTCCGGAGGGACCACGGGAAGACTTGGTGCAGGGTAGTTTCTGTGATGGGATCTGCCAGCAGGAGCCCAGGCTTGGGAGCCTCTGAGCGCATTCTTTGGGCTGCCTGGTCTCCGTCCTGCCCTGCCCCACAGGAGGACCTCCCCTGGTGCTGCAGCTTCCTGACCCGGGGGCTGGCCGTGTGGCCCTGCCCATGCCCCTGCCTGGCCCCATGTCGCAGCCAGGTGTTGGTGGAGCCCTGGCTATTTCTTCTTTTTGTTGCTTATTTTGCATTTGACCTGCTGAGGACCAGACATAGCCGTGAACACCCTTTCTCTGCTGGCAGTGCCCTTCCTGTGGGCTGTGCCTGTCACAGGCTGCTGCTTGCCCCAGTGCTGTGGCCTGCCAGACCTGTCCCTACCCTGACCTACGCAGTGTGGCCCATGTTTAGGGCATGAGGGCCTTACTCTGCTGTGCCCAGAAGGTGGAGCCAGGGCCAGCCTGGCCCCTGAGTCTGCTGTTGCCCCCTTGCCTGACTGGTGCCACTGGTCCCCGCAACCCTTGAAACTTCTATGTGTGAGGAAGACCAAGTGTCTCCCAGAAAGAAGCACGTGCCCCACATCTCTGCCACGGTGTGTGTCTTGCTGGACCCTCTCCCCCTTGGCACGCCTGTTGCCGTGGGTTCTCTTGGTTTCCCGCGTGGGAGGCCAGCCCTGCCAAGGGCCCACTTTGTGTATGCCATGGGTTTCATCCTGGAGGAAAGCAGGGCCACGTTGCCTCCCCTCCCCAAGACATCCCCATGTCTACTCGGTGGCGGGGCGCGGGTGAGGCACCTGCTCACCTTACCTGGGCTGGGCTCTTCTCCACAGTGGTGTCCATGGGCTCTGCAGACCACCAGTTCAGCCTCGCCGAGATCCTGTCACAGAACTACAGCCTCCGGGAGGAGTGCGCGGTGGCCTCGAGGGGCCCGGACAAGCCCGTAGAGGAGCTGGACAAGGACTTCATCTCCCAGGTGCGTGGGCCAGGGCGTCTGGGTTCTCCTCTCAGGCTTAGGACCTGTTCGCAGAGAGCAGGGAGCCCTGCTGGGAGCCGTTGCCTTCTGCATCACAGGTCAAACTGAGGCATTTAAGAAACAGCATTTGCCAGTTCATTAGGATGCCAACAGCAGGGCTGGGGTGCGGCTCTGTGGTGAGTGCTTGCCTAGCATGTGTGAGGCCTGGGTTCCATCCCTAGTACCGTAGAAACAGAGCAGGAGCAAACCAAATACATATTAGTAGAAATAATATATTTTTTGAAGATGAAAAAATTACTCCATATCCCAGAATAGGAGAAAGGAGGGAGGGAATTGTTGCATCGCCCCACATCTCTGGGCACAGCAGGTCCCCCTTTTGCTGAGGTGTCATCGGCTCCATAGATCTGGAGCCTTTTCAAGGCCATGTGTGTGGCCTTCCATGCTCCCCCGAAAGCCAGCAGTCTGTAGTTCCGAAAGAGCGGTGGTGTCAGGCTTTGCCCAGGAACCTTCTCCTTGGTTCTGGTGAAGTCAGCTGAGCCTTAGCCACGTGAGATCCCAGCCGCTCTGCACCCGGCACCGGCAGCGCCTTAGTTCCTGACACGCAGATCTTCCATTGCAAAGCTCAAACCTCATTCGTGAGTGTCTGGTCTGCCAAGGCTGCCATAATGTGGCTCCTGAGACTCAGTGGCTTCAACCTTTAATTTTTTTATAGTTCAGGACTGAAAAGTCCAAGGCGCAGCCAGCAGCATGGGTTTCTGGGGAAGCTCTTTCTATCTTCTCCAGCTGGTGACTGAGGTTCCTGGAGTCTTAGGAAGACAGTAATCCTGGTGGAGCAGGGCCTGCCCTCCTGTTCCTTATACCTTAGTTCCTTCTGTGCAGGTCTTGTCTCCACATGAAGGCTGCCCTGTGGGTAGGGTGTTCCCTATAGTTAGTGTCCCACCAGTCTCGTTGAGGTTTTCTGAAGACTGAGGATTTACTGTGTCAAGTTGAGGTGGTTAGACGCGCGTTTTCTAAAGTTACCTGTGGCTTGGAAGCGCGAGTCTTGCTGTGGTAGTGAGTGTGGTGAGTTGTCCCCTGGTTCTTGTTGGAGGCAGCGTCCCTGGAGCGCTGTAGGGTGGCTGGTGTCTGCAATACTGTTTGGAGTCCACACGGGTGGCTCCTCCTTCCACTCCGCTGCACACGTGCCCTTCGAGCGGCCACCTCACCTGGTGTCCAGCAGGTGGCATGCGTGTTTCTGTTTCCTGCACAGCAAAGTAAAACCTCTGCTCTGGTGAGATTTCCCACAGTTAGCAGTTTTGTCCCAGATATTTGTATCTGTAAGGGGCACCGTGATGACGACTCGTGTGCCGGGCTGTGCCTGTGCCTGTGCCAGCTTCTTGCCCTTGCTGAGGCTTCAGCAGTGGTGCAAGTGTCATCGTGGGAGAGGGTGCAGGTAGTGTCTTGGTGCTGCTACAAGAGTCCCTGGGCCGCTTTCCATCCTCCCAGCACATGCACCACTGGGACCAGATCGGCACACTGATTGTCCCACACATGGGTCCCGTGAGGAGCAGTTTGGATAGGGGAGCAGGGCTGGGAGGAGGTTGGTGGTTTTCCTGTGGATCCGAAGTCCTTGGGATGAGTCAGACAGGAGTTAGGGTGTGAGGATGCAGGTGCTGACTTTCTGGGGTAAGGCCGTTTCAAGCGCTTGGGAGCTGATGTCAACCCACAGGGTCGGGATGCAGTCCTGCAGGTGCAGCAGTCTCCAGAGGCAGTGACCCCTCCTGCCCAGGAGCCTCGGTCTTACTCTGCCTCCTGTGGTGCTGCGTGGCCTCAGCCTGTGACTGCTGCCGCCTGTGGTGCTCTGGTCTCTCCTGCCCCAGCCTGGCTGTTACTGGGGCAAAGTCTGTTTTCTTAGTGTTCTGAGGTTTTTCTTTTAAATCAGGTCTGGGTGTTGGATTTTACCAAATCCGTTTTCAGATCTGTCTCTTCATCTTCTGTTTGTTGAGGTCTGTCTTGGTTACTTTTCTGTCCTTGCTAAGACAAAATACCTGATGCCCAAAATTAAGGAAGGAAAGGTTTATTTAGTTCAGTCTGTGGAGGTTTCAGTCCGTACTTGGCTGGCTCCAAGGCAGGGTAGCGCAAGGCAGAGGGCAACAGTTCATGGTGGCAGAAGATAGTAAAAGCAACAACAAAAGGGAGCAGTGGCAGAGGGCAAGCCCTTTTTCCTCCCTTATATTGTATGCAAACTACCCACCCCAGGGCAGGTGTAGCGCTCACACCCATAATCCCAGCGTTGGACCATGGATCAAAAACTCCAGAAGCCTACACCCATGACTGCAGGAGGCTTTGGGGAGACATCCAGACACAAACCATAACAAGGTCATAAATTGGAGTGGCCAAGTGCTAGGTACCAGGCCATCCTTGTGTTCTTGGGGTCAGCCTTGGGCAGCACACTGTGCCCAGGGAGGTCTCACCCCAGGCGTGCCTGTCCCTAGCTGGTGGCCTCTGGGCTCTGATGTCTCCTCTGTGCCCATCGTATGCTATGGAGAGCTCTGGACAGAGGCTGGCCTGGGGCTGGCCAGGCAGCACTGCCATGTGGGGATGTGCGTGGGGTTGACATGAGTTCCTGGTTGTGCTGGCCAGTGAGGCTCAGGAGAATGAGGGCCTGGGCCCAGGGCAGCCCCTCATGACAGGGCCCATCTCTTCCTGTCCAGAGCAGTGACATGCCCCTGGATGAGCTGCTTGCGCTGTATGGCTACGAGACATCAGACCCCATCTCAGAGCGCGAGAGTGAGGGTGGCGACACGGCCCCCGCCCTCCCGGACATGACTCTGGACAAGGTGAGCACCAGTCTTTCCTGTAGCTGCCTCAGCCAAAGGCCCTAGAGCAGGATTCATGCAAGGCCCTGGCCACCTCTGGGCCTGGGTGGGGTCAGCAGCGAGAGGCACTGGGGGCTCAGGTGAGGTGGACGTGGTCGGCGAGCGTGAGCTCAGGTTGAGGGTGGCCGTGGGGTGGGCTAGTCGACGTCCAGATTTGGGGTGGATGGAGGGGCAGACCTGCATGCTGTGCTGGGAAATACGGCAGGGCCGGAGAGGGAGGGCGCAGCCCCAGATACGAAGTGGAGGGAGCCGGCACTCCACGTGGCTGAGCAGAGGTGGGCTTCATTGCTCCCTGTCCCCCACTGTGCTGGTCTGTCCCTGCAACTCTTCTCCTGTCTGCAGGGAGAGTGACAGCCCAGGAAGCCTCTAGCGGCTGCTGGTGAGGGCAGCTTGCAGCGGCGGCTCTACCACCCTTTCCTTGGTGTCCTTTTGAGATGGGTAAAACAAAGTGAAACGCAGTATTTTCTTTCCTTTCCTGTCACAAGGAACAAATAGCGAAAGATTTGCTCTCTGGGGAAGAGGAAGAAGAGACACAGTCCTCAGCTGATGACCTCACCCCATCTGTCACCTCCCATGAGGCCTCTGACCTTTTCCCTGGCCAGAGTGGACGTAGGTGCCCCTTCCTCTTCCTGACACCCATTCAGAGGCCTCTGGCTGGTGCGGGTAGATGCCGGTGAGGCACCCCTGGCCGGCTGAGCTTTCCTCTGTGGGCTTGGTCAGAACATGGAGGTCATGGCAGGTCCTTGGAGCAGGCCCAGGGAAGCCTTCCTTGCCCTTCCAGACCCGCTTTTGCCCTGGCGGCAGAGACAGAGAGGCCCCTTCCTCATGGGTGGTCTTGGGCCTGTGCCCAGGGAGCAGGTCACAACGGAGGGGGTGTCACCGGAAGAAGGGGCGATGGGCTGCTGCAGGGAGAGGGCTGGGCCCTCGCAGCAGATGCACCTCACGCCTCCCTCTTCCCAAAGCCCGTTTCCTGGCTGGCGGGGACAAAGAGCCGGGCTCCTCGGCCTCCTCTGACACCGAGGAAGACTCTCTTCCAGCCAACAAGTGTAAGAAGGTGCGTGGCCTGGGCATCCCAACCCTTGGAAGCCCTCTGCCCCTTCTCTGAGGAAGGGATGACCCAGGCTGGGCTCCTGTGGCTGCCCTGGGGTCTGCCCTTGTCCAGTACTGTGGCCTGGCGTCCTGTCCAGCATGCTGGGTTTCTCCACCCACGCTCAGGCCTCTGCTTCCAGCCTGAAGCCTGCACAACTGGGTGTCAGCAGGCGGGTGTCAGTTGCGGTGGTTGCGCCTTCACTGGCCGGATGCGTCCACGCACCCTGACCCCGGCCTTGCCTCTGCAGGAGATCATGGTCGGGCCTCAGTTCCAAGCCGACCTGAGCAACCTGTACCTGAGCCGGCACGGTGAGAAGAGTAAGTGACGGCAGCAGCAGTGCTGCAGGAGGCTGCGCTTGCGGGGGTCGGGTCCTTGGAGGCTCCCTGTGATCTGTGGTCCTGCCCCTGGTGTCTTCCACCCGTGCCACTCTTCCTCCATCACTGTGCACAGCGCCACCTGACCACATGGGCTCCTCTCTAGCTGCTCCTCCCTGCCTGTGGCCCTCCGTCCTCTGCCCGCTCCTGCCTGTGGCTTTTTCTCCCTGGGCCTGGACTCTCCTTGCTCAGCCTGTAGGCAGATGTCCTAGCAGAGACTTGGCCCTGTTGTTCCTGGTCCCCGAGCCCCACTTTGTCCTCTTCAGGGCCCTTGCTGTTTCTGGAGGTGATGTGTGTCTGTCCTGTCCCTCTTGTATCGAGATGCGGAGTCGCCTGGCTGCTGCTCTCTCAGGAAGCGTTTCCCCTGTGACTGGGGAATTGAGGAGGGATGGGCAGATACCTGTGCTATAGGCTGGGGGAGGTGGGGACCCTCCCTGGGCCTTGGACTGAGATGCGGCTGCATGGGGTGTGTGGGTGCAGTTGTGGCATAGGAAGACCTCAGGCAGGGACAGAGGGGACCCAGGGACTCCCTGTGAGAAGGGCACTGTGCCATCCCTGCTGTGCCCACAACCTGGCCCGAGCCTCTCTGGGCCTTGTGCTCTGGGCTTTTCTTGCCCGTGCAGGGGACAGCTGGGGCCTGCTGATCTTGTGGCAGGTCTGTCTCTGATCCTGTCTGTCCAGTGGGGTGTGTCTGTGCGCTGCTGCAGCGTTTCCTCACGTGCTTGTCTGCACTTGGTGACACGAGGCCCTCAGTCGTGTGTGGGTGTGTGTGCCAGTGCCCGGTGAGAGCCGGTGTCCCACGGTGGGCAGGCTCCCCGGCGTTCACGCAGTGCTTTGGGACACACCTGCCCCACATCCTCAGCGCAGATGCCATCCGCTTGTTGGTCCAGCCTCTCCCCTTGCAGCTTTCGTCTCGTCCCTGGGCAGTAGTGTCTGTGAGTCACCTGCATGCCCTTTCCCGGCACCCTGCACAGGGCTGCGCCGAGTCCCGCTGGGTTGTCTCCCTTTTGGGTTTGTGGGTTGTGGATGCTGTCCTGGGTTGGCCGTGTGCACAGCAGCGTTTCCCCGGTTCAGGGCTTGCCCTTCGTCACCTCATGATAGAGAACTTGTCTGTCTGTCTCCACGGGGACATGGGTATGAAGGGCCCCTGTGTCTCCTGGGGCTGAGGGCTTCCCTTCCTCTGGATGGCTGGGTGCCCACAGGTGAGCTCAGACCCTCGATGCCCGATGGTGCTGTGTGGGAAACTCCTTCCTGGCAGAGAGGTGGTGGTGCTTCTGAAGGGCCCTGGATGTGGTTTCCTTTCCCGCTCAGCTCTTCAGTGGTACCAGTGTGGTCTTCAGGGCACCTTCCTGTGTCTCATTAGGCCTGTTATTCCTGTAAGACAGAAGAATATTTAAATTACTTTGTTTCCTGCTTGGTTCTCACTCATAGAAATGCATCTTATTTAATTATCTTGTGCATAGTAATTGTGATAAATAACTAATTTCAGTATTTTGAAAATTCTTTTGTATTTTCTGTGTACCCAGTCATGAGGAAGACACAGGAGTGTTAATCTACACAGCTTTCAGTTCTGTGCTGAACTCTGTAGGTTTTTCAGCCATCTCTTTCCCCAGCGTCATTCCCTGTTGTCATTCACGGACGCCATAATACCCGGGGTCTTCTGCTCCCTCTCACCTTTTTCCGTGTTTCCTTGCTGGTTCCTGCCAGGCCGTGCACGGTGCCCTCTTCTGCCCCCATGGTCCTGCTCTCCCCTGGGGACCCCTTCCTCCAGGCAGGCTGTGGTGTGGCCTAGGCGTGGCTGTGCTGTCTGTTGGTGTCCTGCAAGGGTCTTGGCAGTGGAAAGGCCTCCCCCTGGGGTTTGGCAATGCTGGCCCCATACTGCAGCAGAGAGCAGTTTTCCTGAGCTTTTTTTGCTATTGTGCTGTGGTTGGCTGTGTTTCAGGTTTTGGTTCAGTTTTTAGTTTCACAACTGTCCTGGATGATCGGGAGGCATAGCCCTGAGCGCTTCCTCCCTCGCCAGCTGGACTCATCCCCTCCCTATACCTAGGAGCTTCTGTTTCTCTTCAGTAGCAGGACAGGGAGACTCCCTGAACCAGTCTACCCTCACACCCTTCCAGCGGCCCCTCCACAAAGCTGGCTGCACCGGCATCTCCTGCTGGCATCTCCTGCTTCCCTGGCTTTGTTGTCCCACTACCTTGGGTCTGCTGTCCTCCCGGGCATGCTGGCCTTGGTCCTGTCCTGTACATTGAGCCACATGTGGCTGGTGCTGGCAGGCCTGGACCATGAGCCTGCGGGGCCAGCTTTGCCCACCCTGTCCCAGCCCTGACCACTCCCTCTCCTGCAGTCTACGAGAATGAGGACCAGCTGCTGTGGGACCCTGGTGCCCTCCCTGAGCGGGAGGTGGAGGAGTTCCTGTACAGGGCTGCCAAGCGCCGGTGGCAGGAGGTGGCTGGCTCCCAGCTCCCAGAGGGGGAGGCCGTGAAGGACAGTGAGCAGGTGGGCCCTGTACCGGGACAGGGGAAGGGTGCTGGCCATGGGCCAGTGTGCTTGTGAATGCAACTAAAGCCCTTGCCGTGAGGACAAGGTGGTGTTTGTGCCCCCGTGTCACTCTTGGAGGTGTCGACACCTCTGTGTTGTAGAGTGGTGGTGTAGACACCCGCCCGTGTTACCTGAGGTGGGGGCATACATGGCCTTGTGTCATTCTGGGGTGCTGCTGTGGCTGCCCTGCCCATCTCTGTGCACTTGAGGGTGAGCTGCGTGTCCCTGCAGGCGCTGTATGAGCTGGTGAAGTGTAACTTCAATGTGGAGGAGGCCCTGCGGAGGCTGAGGTTCAACGTGAAGGTGATCCGAGGTGAGCCAGGGCTCGGGCGCTTTCCCCTCTGACCACCCTGCTCCGCCCCCCGACCACCCCACCCCGCTGACCGCCTGCTCCGTTGCAGATGGGCTTTGTGCTTGGAGCGAGGAGGAGTGCAGGAACTTCGAGCATGGCTTCCGCGTGCACGGGAAGAACTTCCACCTGATCCAGGCCAACAAGGTGAGGGCCCTGCTGCATGCCCATCCATGTCTTGCTGTGGTTTCCTCTGCTAGCTTCTCCAGGTTCCTTTCCTACCCCACAGAACCAGGTCCCACTGAAGGTGACTTCTCACAGCTGTGCCTGATGTGTTCCGCGCTGTGGCTGAGGGCACCACCCTGTTGTCACTGCGTCCGTAGGGCGGAGCCCAGCCATTGGCTCAGTCCCCACACTGATGCTGCACTCAGCCCAGAGCCATGGGGTGAGGGTCTCCTGGTTCTCGTCCAGGGGCACTGGTCCTTCTGCCCTTCCTGGATGTGAGTCCTGTGTGGGTCGCTGCACACTCTGCAGTAGTGCAGTGGCCCTGTGGCTTCTCGGGTGACCCCCAAGCCAGGCTTTAGGTAGAGTTCTCAGCCTTCCAGCTGTCAGTGCTCCCATTTTGTCTGTCTGGTCCTTTGCTTTGGCCTTGTGACCTGGGGACATGCTGGTGTAGGGGTCTTCATGCCTTTCTCTGTGCTGAGACACAGGTGATCACGAACATGGACATTACTCAGGGTGACTCCCAGGGCTGGGCCAGAGGCAGTGCTTGATCCTCTTACGTCGTCAGACTTCAGCATCTGAGGCTTCTGGAGCCCCATGGCCTGGTGTTCTCCTGCTAGTGGCTTTTGGCTGGGCACCTCTTGGTCTGCGTGTTGTTTAGACAGCGCTTACTGCCCAGCCCTCGCCCAGGAGCCCCTCTGGGTGTGTTCAGAGCGGTGTCCGGCTGGGAGAGTGGTTCTCAGAGGCTGGGCATTGGTGCCTTGCCTGTCAGTAGGGTTCTGTGCACTCAGAGCTCCCGTGGTGCAGCCCCGGCATCGTGGGTAACACCTCTCGGGAAGTGTCGCACCCTGGGGGTCCTGGATTCCTCCGATGGCCAGGTGTACGCCACACGTTAGGGGCTGCCATTGCCACGCTGCCTCCTGTCTCAGTGCGCCTGGCTGTCTCCTGCCCTGTGCTAAGTGACTGAGTACGAGTTTCATAGGACCCAGGTGTCTTATGTATGCTCAGGCAGTTCTCAGGACACGGGTGACACTGTGTGCGCTGACCCTTAGCTCACAGTGTCCTCTCTGGGAGCTTTGTCCATGGTGACTGTGAACTTGGGGACACATTCCCACCTTTCCCCACGTCCATAGGAGTGGGTTGGGGAGGTGGACGCTGAACCGCCCCGGGAGCCTGGGTCAGGGATGTGGGAGGTGGACCCTGGGCTGGGGCCTCTGAACATTTGTGGTGTTACTGCCATATGGAAACAGAAGGGTCTCAGGCCGGAGGTGGGGGCTCTAATGGGGCCTTGGGGCTGGCAGTGGTGGCCCATGAGCCCAGAGGGAGGTAGGAGAGATGGGGCCGAGGCCAGGCATTGGGGCCAAGAGGGTGCCTGCCGTTCTGCAGGTGCGCACGCGGTCGGTGGGCGAGTGTGTGGAATATTACTACCTGTGGAAGAAGTCGGAGCGCTATGACTACTTTGCCCAGCAGACACGGCTGGGCCGGAGGAAGTACGTCCCGTCCGGAACCACGTGCGTGCAGCGCTGCTCTTGGCAGTAATGTTGGCCGGGCCACTTGCCCAAGGCTGGGCTGGGTGTTGGGGGGACACCTGGGCAACACTTCATGGTCAGGGCATTGTGTACCCTGCTTCCTGGCCCCTCACAGTGCCTCTTCCCATAGGGATGCAGACCAAGACCTGGATGGCAGTGACCCCGACGGTCCCGCCCGCCCCCGTGCCGAGCAGGGGCCCCTGGCAGGTGTGTGCGCAGGTGAACTTCAGCAGGATGACGGTGGGTCCTTCCTGGCACTGCCCTGGGTCAGGCATCATCTTGAGCACTGGGCCTCCCACGGTCTTGGGCTGCCGTGGCCAGCACCATGAGTTGTGTTGCTTGGGGACGGTTCCCACCTGTTACCTGGGTCTCGTCCCATTGGGCCCCTCAGGCTTGGTCTCAGTGTGGCATGCTTAGTCCTGACTAACAGGTTACTTGGGGAGATCACAGATGGATTCTCCAGATGATCTCGTGTTTTGTTTTTGTGACACTGGATGGAACCCAGGGCCTGGGCACATTAGCTCACATGTTCTGAACTCTTGATGGCATCCCTTGAAGGGACACAAGTAGGGCCCTCTGCTTCCTTGATGCCTCATTTCCAGAATCTAGCATGGTTTTCCCAGAGGGTGCCCATGATTGCCACTTCACCAAATTGTGTGTTGAGCTGGGTGTGTGTTGAGGCTGAGGCAGGAGGATCACTGTGAGTTTGAGGCCAGCCTGAATTATATAGCAAGACCCTGTCTCAAAAACACCACTAACAACAGAAGCTCAAGCTGTGTATGCTGTGCCTCTGTGACGCACGGGGGGACAGAAGCTCCACACGGTTGCATGCTTACCTGGTCCTCACAGTGCCACCGGCCCTTTTGTCACCTCCCTGGTCCCGTTTGAAAGTGTGGTTTTGATCCACTGAGTTGATCTTCAAGCTTTAAAGCCCAGGGCCGTTTAAAGGGTCTGCCTGGGTCTGTGACTGCTGTGTGGCAGGTCCCTGTGCTTGTGTTCAGCTGTCCGTGTGTTCTCTTTCTGAGGAGGCCAGGTAGGAGCCTGCATAGTGACAGCCAGAAGTGCATGCGGGGTCCAGGAGGGCTGGCGCGGGTGCTGGGGGCTGCTGGCTGAGTGCCAGCCCCAGCTGTGTTCTCCCTGCAGAGCCGCTGAGTGTGGATTGCGCGGCCGGTGGTTGCAGTGAGCCCAGAGTGGAGGCTGACGGCCTCCCACCCTCGGAGACGCGGCCCTGTCCTTTCCAGCAGCTGGACGAGCCCCCTGCTGTGCCTCTGCCCCAGCGGCCACCAGCCCTGGGCGACCTGGCCGTGTATCCCTCGGACACAGCCACTCGGGAGCCAAGCGCCAGCCCAAGGCTGGCCGTGGACTTCGCCCTGCCGCAGGAGCTGCCCCTCCTGTCCAGCCATGTGGGTCTCAGCGAGGACCCCGAGGAGCCTGTGGCCCCTGCACAGGTGGCCTTGTCAGTTGCCGAGTTTGGACTCATCGGCATTGGGGATGTGAACCCTTTCCTGGCTGGCCACCCAACGTGCCCAGCTCCTGGGCTGCACTCGGAGCCCCTGTCACAGTGAGTACTGCCCCACGCCCTGCAAGGTGTGTGGAACCCCAGTGGGCCTCACCCTAGGGCCTTTGGGTGGCAGCCCTGTGCACTCTCTGCCATTCGTCTGACTCACTTCGCACTAGGTAGTAAATTTATGGGGCTCAGAGCCAAGAAGCTACAAGGGTGTAGGTGCCAGGTCCCCGCCCTGCCCCGGTGCCCTGTACCTGCTGCCTGAAGGGTCTCGGGCAGGAGCGGCTGGCTTAGCTCCTGGGGGCGGGGGAGCTGCTGACCCGCTGTCCTCTCTCTGACAGCTGCAACGTGATGACCTGTTGACCGCTGGCTCCAGGCGGGTGTGCGCAGCCTGGATTGGACTTGGCACCGAGCCAGGCCTGCCTGTCAGTCTTCCTGACCCCCGCCACCTGGGCCTCTGTGATGCCTTCTCGGCTTCAGGAGACATCAGGACTGGGTGAGGTGGCCGGGGTTGGCGGCCCTCGCCCCTCCTCACAGACTGGACCCAGGGCCACACAGACCTGGCCTTGGTGCCTGGCACTGCCACTCTGCTCCAGGCCACCGTTGCATCAAGGGACCCACTGGCAGTGGGCGCAGAGAACGCCTGTCCCTCAGGACACAGGGCAGAGCTGGCCACCGGGCTCTTTCCAGCCAGCAGAGGCGAGGGCAGACGTCACTGCCCCGTGGTGGCGGACGTGGGAAAACACGCACCAGCAGCCTCTGCCTGGGCACTTCAGCAGCTGTCGGCTCCGTCCCTCCATGCCTGGCGGGGCCGTGGGACTGCCCAACCCTGGGGTCAGTGGGCAGCAGCTGCTCAGTGCTGGACCCCATGGGCACAGAGCCATATACCTCGCTGTCTGGCCCCCACCCGCTCTAGCCTCCCTCCCCATCTCCACTTCAGGAAAAGCCGCACTTTACACTCCACCTGCCTCCCGCCCCTGTGTCCCCATCCCGATTCTCACGGTCGGAGTGGGGCCCTCAGCAGGCCCCAGTGGGTTTGAGGAGACAGGTGACTCGCACCCTTTTGCCATCCCCTCCCCTAGGCGCCAAGGCAGGGAGCTCCGGAGGGGCTGGATGCCAGCCCAACCCCTGCCTTGTAGTCTTCATTCTGTTAGAGGCAGCCCGGCAAGCTGGCCGGGGTCCTTGCTCTCTTCCCGGCCTCCTGGTTCTGTTTATGTTGGTGTTTACAAGGCGGAGTGGGGTCCCCGGCAGGCAGCTGCCCCGCCCAGGGTCGGCAGCGCGGTGCTGGCTGGAGCCATCTGCACTGGACTCGACTGTCCCTCGCCCCAAGGACCACACTGTGAAGTGAAACTGCCTTCGCCCCTTTGCTGTTTTATTTATTAAATTTGATTTGAAGCCCAGATGTCTCTTGTGGGTGAGGTGGGGGCGGGAGCAGGGCCTCTCTCATCATCTCTGCTGGTGGGATGCAGTGTGTGGCCGGAGACCGGGTGGGCGCACAGGGCACCCTCACAGCAGCACGCAGGACACAACGTTGGACATGGAGCCAAGCCCGGTGGGGGCCAGGCCGCTTTACCGACAGCCGCAGCTCTGCAGGCCGAGGCCCTGGTCCCGGAGGCTGGGCCGGTGCAGCCCTTGTGGGGACACAGGCCGGGCAAGGCAAGCAGGCCAGAGCGGGGTCTCCTCGGGCGGGGCGCCAGGTGTGGAGCCAGACTCAGGTTGCAGCATGGTTCTTGGTCCTCTTAATCCCGTGCTGTGTGGCTTGGCTTTCCACGCCCTGACCAAATGCCTTGAGGAGCGTCGGGGGAGGAAAGGTTTATGTTGGCTCAGGTTTCCGTCCCTGGTCAGCTGGCTCTGTTACCCTGGGCAGGGAGGTGAGGCAGGCACAGTGGCTCGCGCGTGGCAGCCAGGAAGTTGCTAGAGACACAGAACCAGGGAGAGGGGCCGGGGCAGCAAGGGCCTTCCTGAGCTGCCCCGTGTCCCCAGCCACCCACCACCTCCTCGGAGCCGCTCAGCTGAGCGTTCACAGCCAGTCGCTCTGCAGATGCCCTCAGCGGCTACCTCTGGACTCGGCTGCTGGGAACAGCCCTCAGCGTGCAGGCTAAGCCATCGCCTGCTCCAGGAGGAGCTCTGCAGACTCCCAGCTGGGGTCTCCTGGCTGCGTTCACAACTCCTCCCTCTCACTTTGTGAATAGTCAAGCAGGTGTACCTGGTGAGGCTGCTGCGTCCACACACGTTGAGGTCTCGTGTATGTGTACTTGCAGCTCCTCCGTGGCTGCCCGGGTCAAAGACACTCTTCTCTGCAGCTTGAGTACCCCGGGGCGTGGATGGACGCGTTTATCTGGAGCGTGGCTGGAGGACGTCTTGGTTGTGCCCACGTTTTTGCCAGTTAGCTGTAAACATGCACACGCAGGCTTTTGGACTTGAGTCTTCAGCTTATTTGGGCCAACGCCCAGGGCCCTTACTGCTGCCATGAGCTCTTCAGGATGGCTAGAGCATTTGAGCCCAGCCTGGGCAACTTAGCAAGTGCTGGTCTCAAAATTTAAAAAAAATCTAAAAAGCTGTGGAGGTAGCTTGATGTGAAAGACCTGGGTTAATCCTCAGTATTGGAAAAACAAAACCAAAGGCTTCTGGTTTCCGTTTCTTTCTTAATACTTTTTTTTTGGGTAGCAGGTATTGGGAATCAAACTCAGGACCTCACACTTGCCAGACAGGCGCTCCACTGAGCGAAATCCCTGGCCCTTTTAAAATACTTTCTGACGCCCCTCAGCCCTCTATCCCCTAGTCTCTCAGGCTCCTTAATCTTCCTTCTTTCTGTTTCTTATGGGGATTTTGCCATTCTTTTGTTTCCCTCTGCATGCGTCTTTCATCTCCAAACACCGCCCGCTGTGGTTTTCTCTCTCGACTGTGATGAGACAGGCTTTTGCTCCACTCTCAGGTCCTGGGCCCTGTGGGTCAGCCCATCCCTCGGATCTGGATCTGGTCCTCACAGTGCGTGTCTCCAGGGGCAACACCCGATCCGCGGCTGCGGACCCTCATTCTCTCCTCTGCTCCCATCTGGATCATTCTGAGGACTTATCTCGAAGGGGACTAAACCTGCTCAGATCCAGGCTACTCCTAGGCAACTGGGGAATCTTTAGTTCACATATTGTGTCTTATTTTTAGAATTTGCACTTGATTTCTTTCTTTTTTCGTCTTTTTGAGACAGGGTCTTGATATGCAGCTGAGGCTGGGCTTGAATTCACTTTGTAACCCAGGCTGGTCTTGAACTCGCAACGATCCTCCTGCCTCAGCCTCCTGAATGCTGGGATTACAGGCATGCGCCACCATGCCTAGCCTCTGATTTCTTTCTAAAATTTATTTCTCTGCTAAAATTCTGTTGTTTCATCCCCCTCCCCACTTTCTGGGGATTGAACCCCGGGCCTTTGTAATGAGCTACATCCTCAGCCTTTTTTTTTCCCTTCTGTTTTTTGAGACAGGATAGCCCTCCTGCCTCAGCCTCCCAAGTAGTAGCTGGGATGACTGGGATGTGCCGCACTCCCGGCTCCATCTTTTATATTTTTTGTAATAGTTACTACAAACTGCCTCTTTTCCTATTTTGCATTACTGTGGGAATTATTTAACTGTGGGTCTGCATCATCATCATAGGGATTCTCTGGCACGGGAGTTCTGGGACCCGGCTCCTCCACAGCATCGTTCTGCTGTTCTGTAGTGAGCTCCAGGGACTGCTCAGGATCTGATGATTTCAGGGTCCCTGTGCTGCTCTGCTGCTGCCCGCTCCCAGGGTCATTCTCAGTGCCCTCCTGTCCCCTGCCCTTGTGGCTGGAAGTTTCAGGCACATGGTCCTGCCTGGTTTGTCCTTGTGATAGATGTGTGAATTTTGCCCAGTGGTTTAAATAGTGCCCTACGGCACTATTTCTTGGGTCTCGTGGGGAACTGACTAAAGCAGAAGGGTCTTCTCCTGTTTATTTTGTTTTTTGAGAGAGTCTCACTGTGTAGCACAGGCTGGCCTTGAACTCATGACAATCCTGCTTCAAGCTCCTGAGTTGGAATTACTGGCTTCAGTGATGGGACTGGCATTGGGCAGAGGAAGCAGCAGGAGCCAAGGTGCATGGGTGGCCAAGGGTTGCAGCTGTTGGGGGCAGACTTCCTATTGTGGGTGAGCACCAAGGGTAGGGACCAGGCCACTGAGCCAGGGAATTTTAAAATTGCATGGTCAGAGGGGAGCCTGGTGGGTTTTGGGCTGCAGCATAGTTGCGCTTCGGGGAGAGGGATGTTGGATGCCTGAGGTGCAGTGGGGTTGGGAAAGATCCTATCTGTCCCTTTGCAAAATCTGATGAGTTTTTGCTCACAGTGTCATGTATTTGTGTAGAGCAAGGCTGTTGGGGGTTGCACGGCCCCTCTGCTGTCTGCAGCGGCTGCACAGTCCCCTCCAGCCTTGGAAAGGCTGTGTTGAGCTGTTCAGGTTCACCTCCGGGCTTCATCCAGGTCTGGGCTGGGACCCTCCGTGCTTCTGCAACTCTTATCTCTCTGTTTGTTTTTTTTTTTTTTTTCTGGTACTGGGAATCAAACTCACGACCTTGTGCTTGCCAGGCAGGCGCTGTGCCGCTGAGCTAAGTCCCCAGCCCCCCATCTCTGTCAAACCTCAGGGCCCGGCTGCTGCACTGTCACCCTAGAGCCGTCCCTCTGAAGAGCCTTCTGTCCTCAGCTCCCTGAGGGTCTTGCTGAGAAATGTCCCTGCTTGTTTGTGTCTACTCCCGGTTTCCTCTTTGCAGTGGAGGTGAAGGTTTTTTGTGATCCCTGCAACTTTGGCTGCATGGGGTCTGGGCTGGACAGAGCAGAGGGAGCTACCTGTAGGCCACCTTGGCCAAAAAGCCAGGCCTCAGCCAGGACGACATCTCCAGGCAGCTTCCAGGGACCAGGAGGGAGGGAGTGGCCCAGAGGTGGACCAGGCTATGCTGGACATGTGGGGCTCTGCAGCGCGACCGTCTGGGCCCATCCAGTGCTGGCCCCACTGTCCAGGTGACTATTCATCTCTGGGGGTGGGGAGGCCCTTGTCTTCCGGGTATGCAGCTCCTAGGTAGGTTGGCCAGGTACGATCCAGGATGCCCAGTTAGATTCTAATTATAAATAATACAGGCATACACCATGCAATATTTGGGACATACTTATACTAAAAAATTGGTTGTAGCCGGGCGTGGTGGCACACGCCTGTAATCCCAGCACTTGGGAGGCTGAGGCAGGAGGGTCACTGCGAGTTTGAGACCAGCCTGGGCTACAAAGTAAGCTCAAGTCCAGCCTGAACTGCATAGCGAGACCCTGTCTCAAAAAGACAAATAATAATAATAATAATAATAAAAACATAAAAAATTGGTTGTTCTGCTGGGTGTCCTGTGTTTCCATTTGCTAAACTGAGCAGCCTAAATCCTGGGCCCTTCCAGGTGGATGGGTGTGAAGTGCACACCCCTTCCTGGTCCCCTGGGAATTCCTGGGGTATCTGGGAAGGTCTATTCCTGGGGTAGCTTTGCCTGTGTCGCAGAAAGGGGACCGCTGTGCCCACCTACCCTGGTCCTGGGGAGTAGGGTGGGTGGTATGGGTGGCACCTGGGCAGATGGATTAGAATTCACCCAGGTGACGCTGGTTGAGGCTGTGGTCTCCTGGAGACAGGGTGGATACACAGCTGGGGAGGTGGTGCTGGGCTTGCAGGTGTCCCTCGTGTGAGGACAGTCCCCCTGGCTGTGTGAGGTGGGTGTCACTTCATCCAGGATGAGGGCTCCTGGACCCCGGGGTTCACACTACCCCTGGCTGAGGTAGGACACCCTAAATTAAGAGGTGCACTGGGGACTGCAGTCCAGGCGGCATGTGCAGCTCTGGGTGCTGGATCTGGAGTTTAAAGGCCAGGGCCCCAGCCCTTGGGGTGTGCCTGAGGTCTTCCCACACCCCTTCCCAGCCTCACCAGCCAACTGCAGGCCTTGGGACCCCTAAGCTGGGGCCTCCTAGTCCCTAAGTCTAACCTTGACAAGCTGCTTCACCTCTCCCGGACCGAGAGAAATGAGGAGCGTAAAGGCAGGGTAGGGGTGTCTGCACTACGCTGGCACCTAGTGTCTGTCGCCCCCCGACACACGTTTCACAGACTTGTCCGGGCCCACCAGGTGAAGATGGGGCACCGAGGGGCAAAGCTGGCACTGAGCCCCTGGCCCCACTGTCTGAGGTTGGTTCTGTCTGACGAATCTGAGCAAGATCCCAGCACCCTTCTAGCTCTGCCTCCTGCAGTGAGTGTCCTGCCTAGTGCCCCCCAACCATGGGCACCCACAAAGGGGGAGCAGACAGGAGCTCAAGGCATGGATGGCCCCGGTAACAAGTAAGGATCCTTGACCCCAATCCTAACCCTAATCCTGATTTTTGCTGCCCCCACAGGTTTTAATCCTGACCCTGCCTGGGGATTTTAAGGACTGACCCATATCCTGACCAGCCTCACCCCCACACACGCACCCCAGCTCCTTCCTGGGAGCCTCTCTGACTCTTCCGTGCTCTGCTCCCCACTGCAGGGCTCCCCACCTAGCACTCAGTAGGTGCTCCATAAGAAAGGGCCTTTCAGGGGTTTGGATACAAGGTCGCACCTTGTTAGCAGGAAGTACTGTGTGCCCTCTGGACTTCCTGAGGGCGGCGTCCCAGGTGGGAGGAGGGGGCAGTAGCAATGCCGCCTCGGGTCACATTTATGCAGGACTGCACTCCAGCCCTAATTCCAGGAAGTGCATCAGGAACCCCGAGGAGCAGTGAATGAGGGGCGGAGCCCAAGCTCGCCTGCCTCCCCGCTCCGCACCACAGGCGAGCACTGCCCACCCAAGTGTTACAAGCCCCAGACTCCCCACCTGGGGCTGTTGGGTCGAGGGATGGGGCAGATAAGTTCAGTTTGGGCAGCCAAGGGCGGCGACCTCCGGCCCCAGCCTGGGTTGGAATCCCGCTCCTACCACTCCCACACCGCAGCCCGTGTGTCCCGGCCATGAGGTCCGATGGCATGAGGGACCAGTGCAGTGTTGGGACACAGCATTTGCGAGGGGTCCTTAGTCTCGGCTTCCAGACCTGACGGGTGCGGGACCCTCCTCGGGCCAACACCGAGCGTCACAGCTTTGGGAGGGAAGCGACCCCTCTGCGCAGCCACGGCGCCTCCTGGCTTCCGAGGTGTTGCGGTGTCCAGCCCAGGGAGAACAGCACCCACCCGCGCGGGACTCCGTCGCCCCAAGTCTGGGGACCGCCCTGGGTGACCTGTAGGTCGCTGTCCCTAGGCATCTGACCGCCGCTCCCAGCTCAAAGGCCCTTGACCCGCTCCACACCCCGGGGTCCCCACCCCTGCCCCGCCCCTCCGATCTCTGGTCCCCTCCTCGCTCCTCTGCGCTCGCATTCGGCTCTTCCCGCGCCTCCTCCACTTTGGAACTGCTCCTCCCTTTCCCTTACCCTCCCCTGCTCTCCCGACTTCCCTCCCCACTTTCCAGCCCCTCCTTCCCGCCTCTCCCTTTTCCTTTTCCTACCTCCCCCGTCCCCTGC